ATTCCTACTAAGAATATATGTGAGCTCCAGTTTCTCCATAGTCTGTGAAAACTTATTATTTCCAGTCTTTTAAATGTAGCCATTCTAATGAGTGTGTAGTCTTATCTTATTGTGATTTTAATTTGTATTTCCCTGATGACAAATAACTTTGAGCATTTTTTCTTGTGCTTACTAGCCATTCGTATATATTTTTCTGTGAAGTATTTGTTTAAATTCGTATCTTTTTTTTAAATTAGGTTTTCATTATTATTGGGTTTTATGAGGTCTTTATATATACTAGATACCAGTCTATCATGTTCTATGTATTGTAGATATGTTCTTTCAATTTGTGGTGTGTATTTTCATTTTCTTAATGGTGTCTTTTTTAAAGAGCAAGTTTTACATTTTGAACAAATCCAGTTTATTGACTTTTTTTTCTCTTATGGTCCATTGTTTCTGTGTCTTACCTTTGTTATCTTTGCCTATTCCAAAAATTTTGGGGATTTTCTTCTGTTTTCTTCTAGAAGATTTATAGTTTTAACTTTTACATTCAAGTCAATTGTTTTCTTTGAGTTAATTTTTGTGTGTGGTGAAAAATAGTTGCAATGCTCTTTCTTTTGCACATAGCTATCTTCTCCTAGCACCATTCGTTGAAATGACGTTCCCCCCCGCCCCCACTGAATTGCCTTGACGCTTTTGTCAAAAAATCAATTGGCCATATAGGTGTGAGTCTATTTTTAGACTCTATTATGTTACATCGATCTGTATGATTATCTACCCTCCAATACCACACTGACTTTATTATTATACCCTATAGTAAATCTTGAAATAAAGTAGTATAAAGCCTCCATTCTTTGTAAATTACTGTGAAAATAATGGAACGTTTGTATTTCTGTATCAATGTTAAAATTAACTTGCCAATATCTGCAAAAAAAAAAAAAACTTGCTAAAATTTTGATTGTGAGATTGCTTTGAATCTATAGCTCAATTTGGGTGGAATTGACATCTTAATGATGTTGGAATCTTCCAATCTATCAACCTGGTATATCTCTGCATTTTTTTAGGTCTTTAACTTTTTCCCAGCAGTAGTTTGTCATTTTCAGTCTTACACATTGTATTTGTTTCCTAGGACTGCTTACTATAATAAATTATCATAAACTGGGTAGTTTAAAACAACAGCATTTTATTCTCACTGTTCAGGAAGCCAAAAATCTAAAATCAAGGTATTGGCTGGCTGGTTCCTTCTAGATGCTCTGAGGAAAAATTTGTTCTATGCCTAGCTTTGGTGTCTATAAGCGATCATTGGCATTCCCTGACCAATCTCTCTGCCTCTGTCTTCACATGGTCTTCTTCTTCTATGTCTCAGTGTCTTCTCCTTTTCTCTCTCTTATAAGGACACTGCCATTGGATTTAGGAATCAACCTAATCTGGGATGATTTCATCTTGAGATCGTTACCTTAATTACATTTACGAAGACCCTTTAAAAAAAAAAGTTCTCATTCTGAGATTCTATGTAGACATATCTTTTAGGAGCCACAATTCAACTCAGTGTACACATATTTTAAAAAAATTATTCCTAAGTATTTATGTTTTATTATACTATTATACTATTATAAATGAATTTTTAATTTTTTCCAATAATTTGCCACTAGTATATAAAAATATAATTGATTTGTATGTATTATTCCTGCATGTTACTAAATGCAGTTATTACTTTTGGTCATTATTATATATATTCCCTTAGGATTTTCTACATAGACAAGCATGCTGCATTCAAGCAAAAGTAATTTTACTTTTTTTCTATCTATGCCTTTTGTTTTTCTTGTTTTATTATAATTGCTAGGATATCCAGTGAAATGTTGACTAGAAGTGGTAAGAGCAGGCATCCTTGCTTTGTACCCAATCTTAAAGAGAAATAATTTTATAGTTAATTGTTACGAATTATCTTAATGATAGGTTTTTTTAGAGTTTTTTTTTTTTTTTTTAATCAGACTAGGACAATTCCTTTCTATTCTTAATATGCTGAGAGGTTTTTTTTTTTCTTTTAAATCATGAATGAGTGTTGAATTTTATATTAAAAAAAGATTTTTTAACATATATTTAAATAATGATACTTGTCCCCATTTATTCTATTAATATGGTGAATTACACTGATTTTTAAATATAGAACCAATCTTAGTTTTTTGGAATAAATCTTAATTGGTAATGATGTAATTTTTGTATATTGTTAGATTTGATTTATTAATTTTAAAGAATTTTTGCATCTATGTTTATGAAGTACAATTTCTGTTATTGCCAATTTTATACATTAGCCTGTATTTAATTGTCCAACTTTGGTCAAAATGAGTTTGGAAAAGTTCTTTCTTTCTTTATTTTCTGGAAGAATTATGTAAGATCAGTACTATTTCTTACTGAAATATTTGATAGGAATCACCAATGATACTATTTGGATCTGGAATTTTCTGAGTGGGAAGGTTTAAATAATGAATTTAATTGCTCTGATATAAGGCTATTTAGACTTCTTGTTTCATCCGTGTCAGTTTTAGTAAGTTGTATTTTTCAAAAACTTTGTCCATTTTATCTAAGTTCTGACCTACTTATTTTTATAGATCTAGCCTAGATATCTTCTTTTCTGTAGAACCTTACTTGACACCTCCGATAGAAATGATTTCTCATCCTTTGTGCCACTGCTTTATCTAGTAGCATTTGTACCCTCCACCTTCCTTCAAGGTTATTTGTCCATATGTCTCTCCCTATACTAACTTAAGGGCCCTAAAATTCAGTGATTGCATCTTATATAACTTTGAGTCTCTGCCTCCTTGTATGGTGCTTGCCACATAATAGATACATCCATGCCTAATTTATCAAATTATTTCATTTATTGTTATTTAATTTATACTTACACAGGCATGTTTCTAACAGTAGATTTTAGCTTCTATTGCAAAAATGGCAAATATTATTCAATGTTCCTATTTATTCTATGTCATATACTTAGAACAATTTTTAAAACTATTGAATTGAATAGACTTACTTGTTGAACAGTACAGGAAAATCAGAATTCTATGAACTCAGAGAATAGAGATTAGATAGAAATAAGGAAAGCATGCATCAATAAAGGAAAATAACATTATTGAGTACTTACTATATATCAGACACTATGATACAAAATTTGTATTTCTTATCTCATTTAATCCTAAAATAATTACACTATTTAATTAAATAATTACATTATTTAATCCTAAATAATAGAAGATATTATTATCCCCATTTTACAGATCAGGTGTAGAAAAGTTGAATACTTTGCCTAAGTCCACTAAGTTATTAAGTTGCAGATCTAAGTTTCACATATACAAGTTTAAATGATCCTATTATCTATGTTCTTGGTTTCAATTGTACTTTTGCCCATTTGGTCTTCTATAAGACACCTAATGGATTTTCCCTGTATCTTTAAACTTTGATGGAATAGAATAGTCTATGGTCTCCTTAATTGAATGTTTGGATCACTATAAATTTAGAAAAATTCCAAAGTATTCCCTGCTTATAGCACAAAAATATGCAGAAGTAGCATAGAAGATCGAAAGCAAACTTATTTCAAAGTATGCTGTCCAACTCCCTGGCATTCATTTGATGATATCAGATGCCACCATTTTGGATGTGGCTAACTGGGGACATCACTGCTTCTTGAGTTTCTACCCAAATACCATAAGGGAAATGAAGAGATCAAGGCCATGATGGCTCAAGCAATCTTCATGGCTTGATGTGAAAGCAGAGGGTCATTCTTTAAAACAGATCTTACTTTTATGTCTGTTTCATATTGGTTCAGTTTAGAAAGCTCTGTGGGCTAATTTGCACAAAGCACATTCCTTCTCCTTATATCTTGATAAAAGATATGTGAAACACTAGATTCAATCACATTGCCTCTATGCTGCTACTAAGATGATTCCACCTTCAGACTCTTTTCTCTTTCAATGCAACAGTACTCTGTAAGTTACCTAGATCTGAGTTGCATATGATAACTAGGATTTTCTCAATTATAAATATGAATAATGCACCATTTTGTTAATACATCTTAACCAAAGAACTGGAAGGGAAGGCATGTTTTTCTATGATTCTAGACTATCAATTGAAGCAAAAGTTCTTCTTAAAGTGGAAAAAAAAGTATATATGTATGTATGTATGTATATATGTATGTATGTATTTGTGAACAATTTTGGGGTGAAGAACTTGCTACTTCTCCAGGGAAATTGTTTGCAAATATTGAAGAGACAGCTTAACAATTCACACTGATCATTCCCTGTGGTCTGCCATGACTAGGGTGATACTTTCATGTATTATAAGCATCAGACGAGGAAGCTGGATCAATTCTTTCCCTTGAAATTCTAGTCTGTTAGAATGACTCCCTTAGGCATCCACAGCTCTGAGTTCTCTCTGAGTAAGAAATGAAGCAAGTACTCTTAGGGCTGGTCACATTAGGGAAAATAAAATATAAAAAGCATCCCTGCCTTTTAAATGCTGGAGATAAGCAAGGGACTCTTTCTCACTTTTAGGTAGTAGATACAATTTCCTGTGCTCTGGGCATTAAACTTGTTGAAAGGACATTGTTGAGACTTAAAATTAATTAATAATGTTTATCATACAAATCTGGATGAATACTATCCTACACGAAGGTAAAGGAGAACAAAATCGAATAAATACATGCTCCTTTGGAAGCTGTTTTTGGTTAAGGGTTTTTAAGTAGCCACTTGAAGTCAAGAGGCATAGTAGGAGTTCGGAATAATAGAAGTTGGAGCAGAATATAACCATGTTCTTCCTCCTGCCTAACACTGGGCTTAGGCAAAGCACAGTCCATATAAGAGCTGCCTTATAAAAACTTGCTGAGTGAATGGAATGATTGAACTAATGGTTGTTAGATTCTGAACTTTCTTACATGGTAGTTTCAAATTGTGGTGAATTTGGTTGTACTCCACCTAGGTGTTGTAAGAGGCCAGGAAAAACCTTTCTATTTGATTCTAGGAGCTGAGAGAGTGCTCTATGCTGCCAGAGAAGACCAGCTTGTGACAGTTCTGTTTATCCAGAGGCAGAATGGACCATCTTACCCATTGTCAGTTTCAACAAAGAACCTATATTGCCTAAGGAAACAGTGTTTCCTCTTACAAGGTACAATCTAGGCTCCTCTGTCATGAGGGGACTGCTCTTGGAAATGCACTCCAGAGACTTTCCTATTTAACCAAGATACCAATTGCATTTCTACATAATTCCCCTGCTGAGGCTCTATGAAAGGAATGATTTGGGATAGATACAGCAAGATATTAGGACAAATTTTCCCTATTCTTCATGCTGCACAATACAGAAGTGAACTTGATTTCAAAAAAGACCCAGTGCTTTTCTAACCACTTTTACTCATAATGCTTTCAAATCACTGTCTTTAATTCAAATTGTGCAGAGAAACAGGGAAATGAAAAAAATGATAAAGTGGCTAGTAAAAAGTAAAATGACATTTAATTAAAACTAAGCTTGCAATTTCATGGGGAAAAAAATATATTTTGCTAGAAACAAACCAAGAAACAAAACCTTTGTGATTAAACCTCAGGGCAGCATCACTGTCCTCTTATGGTTTTGTATTTAATTTGTACATTGACAGTAGATATTTGTGATATTGTTAACAATCGCTGTACTAAATTGTAAACTCAGCATTGTGCATCATTTTAACCTTGTTTAGTCACAAGGCTTTCATTTTCTTTCTGTACTTTTGTTAAGCTTGTTTCTGAGTGTGGTTTATTCACATAAGCTTTCAATTTTAAATAACGTAATCCATTTATTTCACTAGCATCTTTATTTGCTTAAAGTGAAAAATCTCATTGTGATTGTGTTGTAAATAAGTCAATCCTTTCCTTCCCTTTATAGGAAAAGCTGTGGATGCTAAAAAAGAGAACTGAAAGAAATAGAAATTCTACTAGTCTTTTATGAACTCAGTTATTAGAGTAAGTAGAGCTAAACCTATGGGTGAGATGAATTGAAGAAAAGAAAATGGAAAAGGCATTTTTAGAGCTTTTACTTTAAGTCACTCCAATGTCCCCCTTCTCTACTTCTTTCCACTAATTTGATCCCACCCCTTCCCCACAGTCACAATCAAAAGCACAAGATAACTAAGAAGCTAAAAGGAAAATAAGAATAAGACTCTGTGTAATTTTTCCACAGTAATTTTATAAAGTCAGGGTAGAAAGACTCTGCCTGGAGAACATACTTTTACATTTCTAAAATTGTAGGAGTGATCCTGAAATCTCTGTAATTACTTTTCTGCACTTTTTATAAGAATGGTGTATGCATGTATACACTATACTTTTTAATACACATTTTAATATACATACATATGTACATTTTAATATATATTTAAAATGTGAGTACATATTTAAAATGCTTATATGTACATATGTATATGCACATACATTTTAAATATACACATACATTTAAAAAGTAAATAAGAGTAATTTCTTTAAATAATTACTAATACCAGAGAAAAATTCATCTAAAAATATTTCGTTGAATTTCATTATATGATACTCTATAAGTATCTTTAATAAGTCTTTTGATTCTTCTTAAAGAAGGAAATTTATGTGCAAAAGCCTAAAGTGACAGACGAAGGAATGGAAACCAGATATCCTGACCCAAGACCATAGGAAATCTTCCAAAGAGTCCTCTGGGTCATTCATGTGTGCTTCCTTTCGCAATCAACACTATTTTCAACAAGTGTGAATTCAGCAGAGCTGATGAAAGTCAAGTTAGCCAGAGACTGCTCGATTCCACTGGACTGTGGCACCATGTCCTCATGGTCATTGGAAGCAGTGTTGGTTTCTTCATCAGACAACATGACTAGGCAGGAGGCAGGGGTCAGGCTTTACTTCACGTTCACAGTGTCACATGAATGAGTTATCTATCCTTTCTGGACTTTCATTTTCCTTTGTGTTGAATAAGATGAACAACTCTTGCCTCTTCCCAACAACATGCTTTCTTATTGCCCCCAAATCATCTCAAACATTCATTTTTTCCACACTAAGATCAAGGGATTTTGGAGGTAGCTAATTGAGGATCCCCTGTTCGTGACTTAATCTACTATTGTTAGTTTCACCATTCTAAGATTCAACATTTTTCTTCTCTTCTTTTGTATATTTAGCCTCTAAATTGTTTTAACCATCAGATGATATGCTCTATTTATTTTTCTAAATTCAAATTCTATCTATATTATAACTGTTAAGAAAATATTCTTATAAGAGAATGGAATCTAGACAGAGAGAGGGACTATGCAGTTCTAGAGGAAACTATGCAAACTTCCCCAGAGGGAACTTAAGAGTTCATCTAGTCTAAACTCTCATTTTATAGTTGAGGGAGCTAATGATCTGAGAGGTAAAATGTCTCATCCAAAGTTACCATGACAGAGCTAAGCAGAGAACTCTATGTCTCTTTAACTTTCACTTCTATATTCTTTCTGTTGGTTCATGTGTCTTGGGATTACTATAACCAGAAACGGAATCTGAAGTTCAAATAAGCAGACAGACAAGCATATGTAAGCTTTGGTTTTTCCCAGGGCCAGACTCCAACTCTGTGCATAACTTGGCCAGCAAGTGGTCAGCATTGTCATGGAGGATGGAGGATTCATGGTTCTGAAGCCTCTTCTTTGACCCTTCCTTTCCTGTTACATCCAGCCTAGAATCTGGACCTACTGAATTCCTACCTTTTCATGTTTATTTTGGACATGATTTAGCTTGCATTTTTTCTTACAGTTCTTAAATTTTCTCTTCAAGTTGACTTTACTTCATTTTATATCAACATTTACTGAGAGTTTACTGTGTTCCAGGTCTGGAAATGCAGAGCCGTACCTCAGTCTCTTAATTACAATCACAGTGTGACACATCCTGAGTAAGATATGCTTACAGTGCTGCTGTGGGGAGGGAGAGGGGGGGTGCACCAAGGAAGGAGAGATTGAAGTCACCCAAAGGAGTCAAAGAAAACAGCAGATTGAGTGATAATTCTCTTGTCTTTACTCTCCTATCCCATTCCTTATTAGGGCAGAGAAGTTAATGTTATGTAATGGTATTTTTCAGAGTAATTTCTCCCTTGTTTTCAACAGAAGAGAAATAGTTATACAGTAAGTCTTCACTTAATGTTGTTGATAGATTCTGTGACTTAAAACAAAATGAGTATAATGACACCAATTTTACCACAAGCTAATTGATATAAACAAGTTAAATTCCTATAGCATTTCATCAATATTATAACAAAACTACATTGAACAAAACACTATTCGAGGACCTGTTCTATAGAATTCTTTTCCTACCTCCATGTCCACCCCCAGTCTTAGATACCTCACCAATTCTCCATGAATTCTCTGAGCAAAGCTTGTTTCCTGATACTTCGATCAATTCTTTCTACACTGTGGAAAGCGAGTCATCAGGGCTCGCTGTGTATAGAGATATACACAGATTAGTAGATTAGTTTGGGCGAAGATATCGTTTACCAATCATTTCCTCCCCAACTTTGGTTTTTGAATCTACTTTCCCTGTTCACTTTATTTTTAAAAACACATTGATGAGTAGAAACTTAGATGTTTACTAGGAACACCCAAAGCACTGGCAATCGTTTAAACTGAATCTTAACATCAGCCAGATTTTTGTTGTTGTTTTATTTTCAAAGTTCTTTTCCTCTTTTACCTTAAAACTTTTCTCACTTTTCCATAAAATTTAAGATATGCGTTTTGAGAAATTAAACTCATGGCAGGAGACAAAAAGAGTCAATTAAAGTTTGCTTATCTATGTATAATCAATTGATTGGCCTGTGTTATATAACACTATAACCTTAGATTATATTAAATTCTTAGAGGAGTACAGAATGAATAATACTTTGCAAAGTACATATTATGTGACAAGCATACTGCTAAACATAATAGAATCAAATTCAGCACATGACTTCATTCAGTGCATGTAAATATATAGCCCTAAGCTCACAGACACACGGACCCATAAACTGAACAATCCAGACTTGCGGGTAGGTAGTCAAAATGTCACAGTGAATCCTTAGAGGCTCAAAAATGAAAAAAAAAAAATTACTTAATCTCTCTTCATTTGGGAGGGCGGTTTGGTCACAAACTATATAGTTGGTTTACTCTGTGCTGGCCTGAACTGGAGCATGTAGTTCACCATTCCCGAAGGACAAAGCATCAGACCCTACAAACCAAGCCTGGCTCCATTTGACAACTCTCTGAGGTCTTCATGTAATTTCTATTTGTATCATGGAGAGACTCCTTGAGAAACACCGAATGTGCCAAATTTAAAATCTGAGGTAGCAGTTTCCACCTTTAAAATATTCCTCTGCTTCTCCCCAGAGTGTTCCCTATTCCTTGAACTCTATGTTAATCTCAGCAGCAATTCTGATACTATTGTTGCACCTCAGCACCAAAAATGTGTCTTAGATTATGTTTCTGTATTCTTCTAATTATATTAATTCTGCATGCTCAGCATTTTTGAAACTCATCTATTTTACAAATGCTCAAATAAATTTAATCATATTTTTTGGAAGCTCTTCCTTACTGTAGTGTCAGTTAATAATGGAAGAAACCAAGATGCACAGGGTATTATTAATGATACCCTGGATTTATACAAACTCACTCTGAATGAACTCCAGGCAGTTCATACACAATATCGCATTTTTCCTCTCAACAGCTGGATTGAGAGACCTAGATTCTATCCTTGGTGCTATAACATCTTCTTGAGAAAGAACTTAGCCACTAATTGCCTCAGTTATAAAATATGAAATGAGAATAGTAAAATTATATGAAGATATTTGCTTCCCCCTCTCCTTATTCTAAAACTTTAATACTTAAATATCTTTAAAAAATGGAAAAGATGGAAAAATATGAAAGGTCTAAAAGTGAAGAAGGAGTGTGTCTTGATTTTATGATCATTAATGAAGAGGTGAGATACAGTATTAAGAATTTGACTGGAAATGCTGAAATCTGAATTGTAATACAATCTCTTCCTTAATGATGGCTGTTGTTGTGGATATCTCTCTCCATTATATTGGAAAGTATTTAGAGACCCAGAGATGGTGAATAACATAAAAGAGACCTGATCTTCTAAAGAGTATTAATTTTACCAGCAAAGATGTCTCTAGGAACCATGGCATCAATAAGACTGGATCTGAGATGAGAACACTCTTATCTTCCAGAGCCTTCCCCTTCCCTACCTCCCCCTTCTTTCCCTCACAACCTCCAGACTTTGTAGCAGCTCCAAAAAAATATCTGAACAACTCCAGTCCAAATCTCTGGCTTATATCCTTGGTTGCATATCATCTCTAGACTCTTTGCTTAGCTATTTTAATCTTCAGAAGTCCCAGGATCATAGAAATATGCCTCTTTGCTTGCCTGCCTAAACCTAATGATTGAAAGGCAGGGAACCTAGACCAAAATAGAACTTGGCTCTTAGATGACACATTTCAGTCAAGAATAATGATGTTTATGTCAGGGTCAGTTCTTTTAGTGCTCAGGAAATAGGGATCTCATATTTTAGAAGGATCTTCATTCTTTCTCTTTCTCTCTCTGTTTTCCCATTATTATACAGCAAAGAAAAATTTCTCTTTTACCTTCCTACATTCCAAGGCTATTGAAATGTACTTTCTACAAATTGGTAGAATCAATGTTCCCATAGCTTCATAAATCACATGGATCCATCAGATAAACTCAGCCCTTCTATGGAGTTAAAGCTAGAAACCAAGAAATGACCCCTGAAACTCACCCAATAAGGGATAGGAGACAAATTATTTGTTTTATATATTCATAGAACAACATTATTAAATATATAAACCAAAAAGTTGTCTCACCATTGATTCCCTCTGATATCTTAAAAGCCTAAGGAAGGCAAAAAACAGCAACAAAAATTTTTTCTACTAGGTCAAAATTGCAAGTATTTGGCCTAATAGTACTTAGCCTGACACTTGGAGCTGGTGTGGATTTGGAGTTTAAAATTTGCCATATGACTCCTTTCGAGAACACTTGAGCTACAGATTGCCTGAATTAAACACTGCTTCATACTGGTTCAAAGTCTCATTGCTTTAGGAAAAAGGCTTTTTGCTTAACAGTGCTAAGTAAGCTTCCCATTGCTCAACTTCCTGTGAGGAGTAATAAGGAATATTTTTGTCAATCGATAAGGGACTCTTGCCGAGGGAATTTAGACCACATCTAAAGTACATTTGGAGTACTTGGAGTAGATGGGCTATGGTTATCCATCCAGCCCTCCCTTGAGAGATACCACCAACCTCTGAGGATACATCTTTAGAAACTGTGTTCTAGGTTGATATAATGGAACTTATTTCCGCCTAGTGAAG